TCCGGAGACTCAGGGTGGCTTACAATGCATTAAGCAATAGCCTTCATACTTTTGTATATTTATACAAAGTCAGCTTAATGCCCCCACAATTTACCTACCTTAGAAAGGATGGAAGGCTGAGTCAACCTTGAGCCTGGGGAGATTCAAACTTACAGTAATTGCAGACAGCTGGTGTTAATCACAATGCTATCAGTCTGCTGAGCCACCAGGCCCGTTTCCACTACCGGTTCTCCATACACTGTCAGAACCTGCTGGATTTCACCCCTGAAATAGGGGTTTGAACCTGGGTCTCCCCAAGATACACAGCATATACTTTATCAGTGAGCTCCAGTTTTTTGTGTGTGTTATTTTGGTCAATTTTTTTACTTAGCAAGTTCACATCTGGAGAGTTGTCAGTTCAGAAATGAATTCTGCTCTGCTCTATTGCTGTAAGTTTGGGGACTGTTTATCCCCAGCCAATTCTGACCACATTTATACCGTAGGATCCCACTCATACGGTGTTGTGTGTCCAAAAACTGAAGCCTGTGTGCACATTTGTTGGATTGGGCTAAACAGATGAATTGTCTAGCATTCAAACTTTGTGACTCATTCCTACAGAACCAAGGCACGCTCATTGTTAGTATTTATTTCTCCCTCCTCCTCTTCTGAATTACTAAATGCTGTTTGACATTTTAGCCTCTTCTCAGTGCCCTTCTGTATCCCTAATTGCCATAATGGCTGTAGCGATAAAACAGCTTCTAATGTGCTAGCAGTGGCAGGACCAGAAGGCCTATTAAAACAGGTACTGGATAGAAGTTTAAAATTTTCCCATGTTGATGGGAAGTAAAAGCCAAAGAATAAAATCAATGAAATATTCAAAGATTTCATGTTCTAGGTTATAGAAGAACTTTTCACCAAATATTTACTGTGTAATAAATTCTATTAAAAAGCTCAAGCTTGCATGATTGAGGGTGAGGGGGAAGAGGCTAGAATGCTGTCACTTTAATTGCAATGGCATAAATATTTGATATTCAGTAAATTAGATCTGTAGCTATGAAAACATTCTTGCAAATGGATTTTTACCTGTAGCACAGTGCCATTAGCCGGGAAAAAGTCAGTGCAGCCTTAGGGCTTGTAATTAACTCAACCCAAGCAGAACTAAACATTTTTGACAGTTTTTCTGGTCTGGAATTAACTGTCATAGGAGAGAATAAAATAAACTGCACTGTCACATTATATTTACATAAAGTCTATAGAAAGCTGTGTTTTGTATTTTTGTTTTGTTAAGTCAGGTTTCATGCCTATTTATTTATTTATCTATTTATTCTGTGATTAACGATGAGCTTTAACGAACAAAGTAGGTTTGTGCTCTCCATCTAAGATGGAAGCTTTTGAAATCCTAAAGGCATCAGCAATAACACTACTATAGTATCTTGAGTGTATGTGCAAATTTGTTGCCATATAATAAAGCCGGATATGTTGCACACTGATTTAAATCATAATGCATTTGACATTTGAAGACATTAAAAACTAGGTATTTTCCTGTCTGGATCACGATTCTAACATAATAAGCAGTTCGGCTAACCAGCGTCTGTCTATTTTTTTTTTAATGGATTGTGTAGGGTTCTCCTCCCCCTTTCTGTTTATGAAAATAACTGTCACTCTCCTGGAATGCAAACCCTGGAGGGCAAATCTGCTTAATGCTTCTCTGAAAGCTACTTATTATCCTGTAGCTAAGAGGAAATCAGAACAATAGTAATTGAAGAGATGTACTCGGCTTCACTTCCTGGCATTTTGTGTTAGGGATGGATTTACATCGAGGTGTGTGTGTGTGCCTGTTTAGGGGTGGGCCCCACTTTCATTTAGGGCCTGGTCTTAATAAATTATTATTCCCACAACAAAGCTAGTTTGCAAATGCTTTAAGATTTTCACAAAATACAGTAAACCAAACTAAAAATATTATATACAAATCCCAATGGGAACTGCATAAACCATTCATTCTCCAAGTAGTTTTAGAACAGCTGTAGTAACTACAACAAATCAGAATAGTTCGACTGCTCTATGCTCCAATCATGAGAGAAGAGGAATGAACAAAGAAAGAGAGAGGAAATTTATAAAATTCTATGTTGGTAGAGTGGCAGGAAGAAAAGGTTAAATCTCTATTTACTCCTTTCTCCTTATTTGAATGATACAGCTAAATGGATGAGATTAATTTAGCCCAGAACACTTGGCAGTAGTAGTTGATTTAAATTAAGTCATTTTAACCTCATTCCTGGTTAGTTATAGCGTCCACACAATTCCCTACTCCATCCCTTAACCTTTAACCATGTCATGCCACTGAAAAACTGTTCCTGATAATTGGGGATACTCTGAAAAAGTGTATTTAGTGGAGTGAACTGTATCTGTATTAGGAAGAAAATGGCCTGTGTTGTATGACTGAATTCTTTCTGCAAGCACATCACCACAATAATAATACTTACAACAATACTTTTTGAATTAATACTAGAGTGACATATTGTCAGCTAAATTGCAAGGGGACTAAACTCCTCCCAGAAGGCTTTTCAGTAATGTACTACCTACACTTCTAAAAAAAGTCTTTCCCTGGATAAATTGTTGGAGAATTTCTCATTCACTTGAAAGAATTTAAAATATTCCCCCCCTCCCCGATTTCTCTGCCCAGAATTTAGTGAAAAAAATCACAAGGGCATCTCTGATTTAAACAAGCACTCAGATTTAGCATAAATAATATTCAACGCAGGCTAAAACTGTGATATCTCCCAGTTATTCAGCTGCTCTGTCTCTAACTTAATTGCAACAGTGGCACAGTGGTTAGAGTACAGGCTACTTCTGCTGACTGCTGGCTGCCTGCAATTTGGCAGTTCAAATCTCACCAGGCTCAAGGTTGATTCATCCTCCCATCCTTCCAATGCGGGTAAAATGGGGACCCAAATTATTGGGAGCAATATGCTGACTCTGTAAACTGCTTAGAGAGGACTGTAAAGCACTGTAAAGTGGTATATAAGTCTAAGTGTTATTGCTATTTCCAAAACAATCTAAAATTCAGCTGGGATGCTTTGAGTATTTGCAGATGTATGCATGCACAAAGTTGCTATGAATATGGTTTTGTACTTGGAATGAGGCATTATATTAATCAGATCAATCAGTAGACAAATATCTACATTTTGAGGGATCCATAGATTGCAGAGAACTGCCAGCCAGTAAGTACTTGCTTTTCTTGCTGCTTGCTGAGCATGGAAAACTCTCCACAAGTCAGTGCTCACTTGCTATCATTTCTTCATTAATGGCTGAGTGAGTGACTCTTTCTGACCTCTCAAATTCCACTGGATCCTTGGTTAAACAAGCATCTTCTCCATAACTTCACAAAAAGCAATTTCCTATCTCTACCCAACTACATTTACATTTCTATACATGTATTTGGATATTCTCTGTTGTTCCACAAAACAAACAATCCAAAGGTATTTTAAGTGGAAGCCCTATGATGGGGAGCTCAATTGTTAAAACAGATAGGAAAATGTCCTGTTTCTCAGTTGAGGTGGAGGTTAACTCCTCAAGTCCTGTGAACAATTCAGCAATATTGCATACATTCATCTTCCCAACATACCAGTGCTTTGTACCAATGAGAGCTCAGAAGGTGGGTGAGACAAGAATCCCTAGCAATGGGAGTTCAGATTAACCCTTAAAGCACAATGAAGCATATGCTGTTGATTCTGAAAGAGCACATACTGAGCTGAAGCAGCATCTCTCCACTCAAGAGTAAAATAGCATTTGCACAATAGCACTTAGTACACTTAGACTTATATACAGTTTCACAATGCTTTACAGTCAGTGGTGGGTTTCAAATTTTTTTATTACTGGTTCTGTGGGCTGGCTTGATGGACGAGGCATGGCTTGGTGGGTGTGGCAGGGGAAGGATACTGGAAAATCTCCATTCCCACCCCACTCTAAGGGAAGGATACTGTAAAAACTCAATTTCCTCCCGATCAGCTGGGACTTGGGAGGCAGAGAATAGATGGGGGCGGGGCCAGTCAGAATTTTTATTACTGGTTCTCCAAACTATTCAAAATGTTCTGGTTCTCCAGAACTGGTCAGAACCTGCTGAAACCCACCTCTGTTTACAATCCTCTCTAAGCGGTTTACAAAGTCAGCATATTGCCCTCAACAATCTGGGTCTTCATTTTACCAACCTCGGAAGGATGGAAGACTGAGTCAACCTTGAGTTGGTGAGGATCGAACTCCTGGCAGTTGGTAGAATTAGCCTGCAACACTGTATTCTAACCACTGCACCACCATGGCTCAAGATAGATTACATTCACAATCTCTCAATGATGATGTTGTATATTGAACAGTGGGTGGTTTTTCTCATCACTCCCAGTGCAGAAACTACATCATCATTTAGAAAATACCTATCATGCCATGTATTATACTGGTGGGAAATCAACACAAAAGTGTCTCAAAGCAACATATATTTCATGTTGTTGTTGTTCTGTTGTTCTATAATCCAATGGACATAATTTCACAGATTTGTATGTCTGTAGCTGCTTTTTGGGAGCTCATGTTGATGTCATCAGAGATAACATCTACTCACCTGGTCTTCTTTTGGCCTCTTCTTCAGTTGTCTTCAATTTTTCTAAAACTTAGGATCCTCTCTAGGTGCTCTCGCCTTTGCTTTACATGTAAAACCTATCTAAACTTTAATTATTGGTGTTTCCAATTAACAGCTTAATTTTTCATTATCTAGACATTCCATATACAAATGGCATACATATCACTAAACCACTGAAGTTTCTTCTTGTATTTGAGCATATTAGCAGTTGGACTTTATTCCAGTCACATGATAAACATCAGTGCTACCCATATCTGGGTTATTAGATGTCTTTCAAACTGGGTACTATTTTCTTGTGTCCTATTGACACTGCCTTTGTCATGAATGTCTGTTTGGTTTTCTTGGCAGAATACTGGATTGGGTTGCCATTTCCTTCTCTACTGAATTGTATTTAATTTCATACCTCATCCATTAGCTGCTTTTCATGGGTTGGTTTTCTGGAACAGTACAATCTCAACATTAAAGTTCATCTCCACAAGGTAATGATCCATTAAGATATTCTATAGATCAGCATACGTATGTTTATTCAAATTAAACTCCCTCTGAATTCAATGATGTGTATTTAGGATTGCAGTCTAAGCCAATGTATTTATACAAAGGATTTACGCAGCTTCTTTCATGCAAATCTTTTATTTCCATTTTATTTCTGCAGAAAGTGCTTTTGATGGAAGATATTCGGTTGGAAAGGGGAAAACTTTCAAGACCATATAAATATATATTATTCTGAAGAGTGATATCATAATAAATTACCCTCATTATTTCATGAGTGGCTCCTTGGCAGAAAAAAGTAAATTTGCTTTTGTTCAGCAAAAGGACTCAATAGAGGGCAGCCCCTTGCTGGCCTTGGCTGAACTACAGAGCCAAGCAGACTTGGACATCTACCTTGGTAAGTGCTTGATCAGGAAAACCAGGTTGTCAGCTTGATAATAAGTATTTAACTGCTTTTGACAATCCATTTCATATATTTCATTCAGGTTGGAAACTATAACATTTGAACCAATCCTTCCACTATATTTTAAGCATTTATACTGTTGTATAGTGAATGCCCAGAATGACATGGAATGAAAATGGTATTTGAAGAGTAACACAAACCATGATCATGCTGGGAAATAACTCTATGAGAAATATTTTCACACTATATCTTTCCCATCCCAACTCATTCTTCATCCAAAACCTTGGGAAGGAGGAAAGTAAAGCTGCTTTCCTATTGATTTATTTACTTGTATGCTAGGCTTAGATGCCACTTTGGTGAAAATGACTCTGATTCACTGGTGATTTTGATTAAGTTTGCTGGTTCCCATAGCATGTCCTTCACTCCTAGTAGTTGCTTTTTGCTTTCCACCATGGGCCTCATGAGGCAATAGTCTCCTTTTATTTCATGGTGCAACCCCTTACCTTAAGTGCTTCATATATATTAAAACAATTAGGTCCCATCCTACAATTAGTGATAGAAAACCAGCCAATGCATTTTATCCTTTCTATAGCCATTGCAAGTTACGTTGTGGCAAGAGAAATTTTCATTGTTGTCATGGCTGGGAAGGAAAGGGTTATGTTTAGGATTAAAAGACAAAGAGTCTATTGTGGCTACAAGAAATAGTATTAATGCAACTTGTAGTAAACTGTGAAATTTAAAGAATACCTCCCAGCTGGATAAACTATACTTGGCTAAATAAACCAATTATTGAACTTTGTTTAGGACAGCTTGATAAATAATGGCAAGTGTTTCATTTTAATTGGTTGCATTTGGCAAGATTCTTTCATCTTTAATCTTGGAATTAGTATTAGCTGTTATGTAACTCATAACATACCTTGATAGACAACATGCACTGTTACCCGGAGTGCAGTCAAGTAGAGTAGACACGTAAATTAGGCCTGCTGTGCTCCCCGCCACAACCTCTCTTGCTAGAAAACAATTTCCTGAGCATTGAGGTGTGCCCAGAGTGCAAAATTGCTTGTTATGGCTGTGCTTGTAAAGGAGATGCCCCTGCTTTAGTACACTGGGAATTTGATGCCTGAATAAATATATGAGGTCAAGCATTAAAGGTTGAGGAAAGAAGTTTCATCACAGGCAAAAGCCAAGGAACACAAATAGGTCATTATGTGGATGCTGCTTTCAGTCTGTCACAAATCCAACTGCATTGATTTACATGGGGAAGACACAATTTATGTGGCTCACTGCATGCGGTTTGTGGGCAGAGTGCAGATTTGGTGACAATTAACAGAGGATCAGCTATTAAGTTTACAAATCTTAGCTTTCTTATCTACTAATAAATTTGATTGAAATAAAGGGGGGCTACAATCTTTTTTCAGTATCTTAATCATGTAAAGCTTTTGTTGATTACTTACCGGTATTATTAACTAGTTTTAATCAAACAAATTTTAATCAGTTTGCAAATAATGGGAAGACTTGTTTAATCTCAAAAGTTATTTGCAGGAACATGCCTGAGAAAAGTCCCAAAGAAAATTTTTCTTTTTAATAGTGAATAGCAGTTCTTATTGAATCACAAAAATAATCAGTTTATTCAGTTGATTAATTATTTCCTCTTTTATACAAATTAGTCAATTTAAAACTTCAGACAGTTTGATAGTCCTAAAATTAATCTCTTTGTGCATTTAGGATTGGCGTATCCATTTTGTTCCTCCACTGATAATTTTATTCTAAAAACTGTAACCTAAATTCCTTCTCTGATGGCCAATAATTGCTCCAAGGATGCATTGTCAGGGTGAGAAACATTACATAGAAATTAGAGACAATCCAAAATCATAAGACGGTACTGTTCACTGATATGTGAAATCAGAATCCAAAAACAGAGTTCATCGAGCAGATTGAGGTTTTGATTCCAAGATTACATATACATGCAGTGACCAATAGATTAGTAAGGGACAGTCTGATGTTCCTAAATCACAAAGATTGGAATTTCAAGAGTCAAATTATCAAAGATTGGATTTGTTTACCATGCTAAGCCATAAGGTTTGCTTTTTATGGCTTAGTATATTGTCTAATCTCATCTAACCATGGTTTATTCAACTGACCATTATTAAATATTAGAATTTTTCCAAGTACAATATTAGCTAGACCAAAAGTAAGTCATTATTCTTAGCTGCAACTGGATTTGTATAGGTGGTTTATAATTCTAGACAATTTGTCATAAAACTTGATATAGAGTTACTTTAAGAGTGAGGTTCTGATTCTTGAATATACTTTAGTGTCCAATCTGTTCTGAAATGTAGACAGCAGTGCTGAGTCTACGTCAATTATCTGTATTTCGAGGTTCTGGTAGAAGTTCTCCATCTTTTTCAGGCTCAAGAGAAAGAAATTGTAAATAGAGGTCAAACTGGATTTTCTATTTCTTCATAATAAGACAATTCCCTTAGGTCTTCCAGTTGATGAGAAATGATCTAGAAGATTTAGGATTTTAACTGAGCCAAGATCATACTCTGGGTTAAGGTAATGGAAGTGGAAAAGATATGAATTAGTTATCAAGGTAGAATACAGACATGTACTAAGCCCATGAGTATTTACTTGAGGGTAGTTGACACAATCTGGTTTATTAGAGGTTATAGCAGAACCATAGACAACAGCAGTGATCTCTGCACACCATCTCTATGCCCCCTACAGAGAGTTTTGACATGAAAAAAAGAGAATCCTGATTAGACAGAGATGCATATCACACTTCTAAACCTTCTGCACAAAGATCTTTTTCCAACAAATGTAAAATAGACAATCCTCAAGAGTATATCCTATTGGACATCAGTGGGAAGAACCAACTAACACAACAGTGTAGCTCTGATTTTCTGTTCATTCAGTGATTGGCAGGAATGGTGAATATTTTCCATTTAAAATGATAGTTTAAATTTATTTCTTCCTAGATAAGTGCATAAAGGATTAAAGCCAGGGGGTATAGTCCTATACACATTTATTTGGAATCAATTGGGCTTACTACATATATAGGATTGTGCTGTCAATAGAATTAAATTTATTATATGAAGAAAGGAATAATTCAAAGAACTGTAGTAGTCTTAAGTCTTTTTCAAATGTTTTAGATAGTTACAATATTTTGTTGTTAAAACAACAGTCCTACATCGCCTTAAATATTAACACATTTATTAATTGTAAGTGATCCATAGATCCAGCCAACTATTTGGTAATTATCATATTTGTTAATGTTGTTGTCGTATTTTTACTCCATATTTTAGCTCAAAGGCTCTCAAAGTAAATAACAAATAAAAGCAGTGGAAGAAATACCACAGCAGTAAGATAAACGAGGAAAGGCCTGAGTCATATTGTTACAATCATACATCTAAAATAAAAATGGAAAATCTAAAACTCCGGTTAAGTGTACAACTTTTTACATGATACAAAAGGATATTAGGGCTGACACCAAGCAGGGGCATAAATACAGCTCTCAGGTATGAAGGTAAATCATGAAGATTGGTATCCAACCCAAAATTATAATGTAAGAAAAATTTCATTTGCAGAAAAACTTTGGGAAACCAAAAGATGTTCTTTCATAAATATTAACTTGTCACAGATCTACAGTTTCACTAAGACAGTGGCAACCAAGGTGAAATCAACCAGAGAAATGCAAACAGTCAAGATAGATGGGGATTCTCATTAGATTCTCATTAGGAAGAAACATGGCAACACATTCATTTTTACATCAGAATTCACAAAACTAACAAAATGAGATATCTCATATTCATTCAATACAGTAAGCCTGGATAGCTGTTTCTTGAGACACTTTGGTCTCAAATAATTTTTGATCGCTTTTTATATTGAGAAAATTCTTATTACATTTGCTACTGTCACCAGAATAGTTAAAAGATGCACACTTCTGAAAAAGTAGACGGCAAGGATGTTATCATTATTATTCCAGATAGCCCAAACATTATGGTCCATTGATGAGTTGAACAAATTTGCCAAAGTCAAAAAGATGAACATAGTAAATGACCCTCCCTTTCTTGTGACTATGAATATGAAAGAAGTAATCCACCTTCAGTGCTAATTGACTGTACAGAGAAGTGTTGGGCATATGTCAATAGGTCTAGACCAGTGATGGCAAACCTATGGCACGAGTGCCAGAGGTGGCACGCAGTGCCCTCTCTGTGGGCACACGAGCCATCGGCCCAGCTCAGCTCTGCCATGCATGTGCGCGCACCTCTTGCCGGCCAGCTGGTCTTTGGGTCTCTGCCGCGCATGCATGGGGGGGCACATGTGGGGGTGTATGCCTGCACAGGGGTGGGACACATACAGGGGGAGCAGGGTGCATGCATGGGGGGCCATGCATGCATGCATGGGGGGCGGGGCGCAGGCACAGGGCCGCAAATGGATTGCATTTTCAGGGTTTGGCTGCACGTGCACAGATTTCGCGTGCACTCGCGCGCTTTGGGCATTCAGTCCAGAAAAGGTTAGCCATCACTAGTCTAGACAAACTGCAGCATACTTTTGCCCAAGCTGGCAAAGAACAGGTCTCAAGGAGAGATGGGACACTGTTGCTTCCAAACAGGGAGAACTGTTATGATCAGGAATTACTCACCATTATTGTCATTGTTTGCAAAATACATTGTTTCCCAAATTTAAACAAAACAAATCAACTGAATGGAAACAAGATTTCCTTAGTAGGCAAATTTCTTATAGAAAATACCAGTTAACCCACATGTAAGAAATGTAGTGCCTCAAGTTCCTTGGACTATAATTTTTACAATAGCTAAAGAAAGGAAATTACAAAATATATCTAGGATATCAGATTGCATATCA